AGAGAGAGAGAGAGAAAGTTGATATTTCACAATTTAATTTAATCCACAATAATCCACGATTTCTAACTTTCCTCGTTTTTCTTATATATTGAGATAAATAATGAAAAAAGGCGGATAATCTCTCTTACTAACTTTACACAAGTTTCTCGATTAAAAGTTTTTGAAGGGTTTTCTTCTCGATTGCAGAGAAAGATGAAAACGTAGAGGAGGAGTTAGTCCCACCAGATGGAGGCTGGGGATGGCTGGTGCTCCTCGCCGCCGTCATGGTCAATCTTCTCATCCCCGGCACCATCAAGTCCTTCGGGGTACTGTTCGTCGAATTCCTTGACGTATTTGACGCGTCACCGGCGGCAGCTGCATGGATACCGTCGCTTTGTTATTTCCTCTACAGTTCGCTGGGTAAGAAACCGTCGTATTTCCGAGGCCGCGGGTCCATGTTTTTTTTTAGTACATCTCTCTCTCTCTCTCTCCTAGGTCGGATTCCGTCAAGGGTTCTGTTTTTCTGTAACTTGTCCCAGTTTTACGCTTACGTAATTCGTGATTAAATATTTAGGCGTGTCTCATTCCGTTTTATCACTCCGTTTGTCTTATCGAGGCGTCGAAACTCCAAGCCATGTTTACATCAATTCAATTACAGTTTTCGCGATAATTTTATAAAAAGAATACCGGGATTATCGTAACAAACGATAACTTTCACATTACGTCACGATTTGCATACATACATAAAAAAAAAAATGAATCTTAAATCAAGACAAATATTCTTATATGTAAACAGAGAAGAATATTATAATCTTCTTAAAAATTTTTAATCTTGATTTAATTGAATTTGTATTCATTCATTGTATTACTTTTGCTCAACTCAAGATTAAAAATCTTCTATATGAAAATTATAATTATATATAGGTATAATAATATCATATATTCTCGCTTATACATGAGAGACCATTTCTATCTATATTTACATATACAAATTCAATAAAATCAAGACTAAAATTTTTCTAAGAATATTATAATATTTTTATTTATATATAAGAATATCTATCTTGATTTAAGACTAACTTTTGTATACATTACATTCTTGTAAAGAAAGAAGATAAACGAAATTCACGATAGATAGATAGAGGCTTTAGAAAATATTCGCGCGAGATACTTATTTGCGTATCGTCTGCGAGATGTTTACACGCTTTTCCTTGGAACAATCAGTAGATCGGTAGATTATGAATCATGTCGGTGAGTTCGTGCAAACATAGGAGCCAATGTGTTTTACGTGTATATTTGACGAGAATCTGGATCCCGCCGACTTGGCTATTCAAGAACGAAGACAATCCCGATATGACTTCATCAAAGTTTCGAAGAACCAAGGATACACACATTTGTACATATTGAATAGTTTTCTAAACACACAAATGTGACCGTTGTGTATATTTGTATTTTCTTTGTATTTTCAGCGATGTCTCTTACTGTTCCAGGCCCACTCTCTAGTGTACTTTCGGTCAAGTATTCCTATCGTACGGTAACGTTACTCGGGGGGACATTCGCCGCGGCGGGGATGATGCTGAGTTACTTCGCGAGCTCTGTGGCCTTTCTATGTGTTAGGTAATACATCATTTTCTTTTAATACAGGATAGAGCTGATCATTATCTTGCTAGTTGATCATTATCTTGCGAGTATCTTGGAGGAAAGTAATCAAGTAATGTATCCTGTTTGAAAACGCAAATTCTCTTAGGTTTTTTTTTAGTAAAACTAAGTACTTCGTTATAACAAATGATTATCTCATTGTTATTGTTTTAATGTTGTTCTGTAAAATAGAATAAAAAAAATCACGTGCGGCAAGTTTTTTTTAGAAAAATTGCAGAATTATCGAGGCATAATTCAAATACTTATAAGATAAATCAATTCAGCATTAATAAAGATGAGGTGACGACGTAAAAAAGAAAAAAAATATCCATTTCGAGTATCTGAATGTGTAAAAGAAAATGGAATATTTTGTGCTTTTTGAAGCTATATACTCGAGCGATATTCAGAAATGCATTTATATGCATTATGTTTAATATTATTATTGATATTATGTTGTTGTTATTGTTATTATAAAAAAATGTAAGCAAATATTTCCTATGTGATTTTTTTTCTTTCCAGTTATGGTGTATTAGTAGGTACGGGTGCTGGATTAGCGTTTCCTCCGACTGTATATATCGTGACATCTTATTTCGTACGGCTGCGAGGACTCGCCAACGGGCTCTGCATATCTGGCAGTGCGTTAGGTTCAATATTTCTTCCGCCCGTTCTAGGCTTTCTTCTACGGGAGTATGGTTACAGGTAAAAAAATTTTAAGTTTTTAATAAAAAAAAATTAAAATTAAAATTTTTGTGACTCCTTCAAATACGAATATTCTCAAAATAATTTTAGATATTTTTCAAAATGAATTTTTAAATTTAAATATTATTGGGAGGATTGAAACATCGGGTCGTTCGTTCGATTGCTACGTATTCGGAATAATAAATAAACTGCCCGCGAAGCTGCGAACGAAAGTTTAGAAATGATTTATTGAATTCATTTAATTAAATTTAATAAAGTAGGTAAAAAAATATAATCGATCGTTAAGCGTTTATCATCTTTTGTCTCGGCCAAATGTGTGAATTTTGTAAATTTAATAGATTTAATCAGATGTTAAATTGCAATAACATATCACTCTTTTATTATTTAATAATAAAGAGTAACGAAAAAGGGAGCGCGAGATATAGAGGGGGATAAATATAGTAGTTAATTTAATATTTATCGAAAACTGATAAACGCTATGTAACAAATAAAATCACTGCAAAACCAAGATCTTATTTATAATTTTTCGATCGGACACTATACATGTAATACACACACACACACACACACACACACACACACACACACACACACACACGACACGACACGACACACACACACACACACACACACACACACACACACACACACACACACACACACACACACACACACATACATATAGTAATCGTTTTATCGTTGGCTATTAATTGCTTTAGCAGAAAAAATTCGCAAAACTGAGCTACAGCATTATGCAAAACTAAAATTAAAATATCATGCAAAATGTAATTTAATCGATATGCGATATTTCTTTGTTTACAGAGGCGCGGTACTAATAATGGGTGCCGTCACGCTAAACGTCTGGGCGAGTGCGCTTCTTTACCACCCGGTAGAATGGCACCTGGTGCCAGCTCGGCCTCCAGACGATATCGACGAGCGTGATAACGGAGAGACCATGTCGGTGACTGTCACCAGCAGCCTCGAACAAACGACGGAGAAGGGCAACAGCCAGGTGGAATCGTCGTACAATTCGACGAACGAGAAGGCTGCGCCGATCGTGCCAAAGAGCGCGTCGAGCGTCGCCCTGGAGTATTACAAGAACACACCGGTACAAAGCCGCACGCGAAAGATCAGCGTGCCTACTGGGCGCGAGATCAGCGGTCAGATGCACAGCACGCCGACGTTGCACGCCGTGCCGGAGCGCGGCGGTGCCGTGGTCGAGTCCGGCAAATATACCAGGGTGGTCAGGTCACCACTGCACTCGCCCAGCGCGTCATCCTTCAACTACGTCAGCACGCCATATCACGGCAGCACGTTATCAGTTTTGCACCCGGAACGTGCGTCTACGTTGACGTTGAACGCCATCTCCAGCACGTTTAGGAAGTCGACGCAGGGCGAACAGAAACAACGTGAGCATAATGAGAAGGATCAACAGAACAAATTTTTCGACTTCAGCCTGCTCAAGGATCCCATCTACCTCGTCATCCTCATCTCCAATTCCACCAACGCCATTAGCTACACCAACTTCGTCATTCTGCTGCCGGCCTATGCCATCTCCCTAGGTTTTGACAACTGGGACGCGTCGCTGTTACTGTCAATCGTCTCCATGCTCGATCTCGTAGGTCGTATCGGCGGCTCTGCTCTCTCCGACATCAAATTTATGCCCAAGCATTGGTACTTCGTCGGTGGTTTGCTCGCCTCCGGGATCTCTTTAGCCATCCTACCCACCGCCAATACATACATCATGTTATCCGTTTACTGCGCCTTCTTTGGTCTCGCGTCCGGCATCTACGTCGGTATCACCGCCGTCATTATGGCTCATATGCTGGGCACGGAGAAACTCACCTCGTCCTATGGCATCTCGTTATTCGTCAACGGTGTCATCCAGTTGGTAGGGCCGCCGATTTGCGGCATAGTATTCGAACAGATCGGCAGCTATGGACCAATCTTCAGTATACTCGGCATCATTCTGGTATTCGGCGCATCCCTTTGGGGCACGGTGCCGTTTATCCGGCGGAGACAGGCAGCGTTGGAAAAGTCCGCCAGAATAGACAAAGTATAATAGACCAAATAAACAGAACAAAGTACTAGTAGAGACACATGTCTGTCTTGTCATTGTTAGTATTTGGAAACTGTAGTTTTTGTAGGTTTTTTTCTAGTTTTACGTTTTGAGATTTGAAGTTTTGGGAGATGTTACAATGTACATCTATTGTAGGATGTTACAATTGTACATCTATTGTAGGATGTAAGTAGGCGAATGAGAGAAGTATCCCAAATTTGCGAATTTTAAAATGTAAAATTACGAAAGAGAAGCTAAACGACTCGCGAGTGACTCGACACTTCGCGGAACACAATTTGAGCTTAAGTGTACGGTTGCAAAAGCGGCCATGCAAGTAGCGTGTATGTGAATATACTTAAATGTGTGTATGGATGAGTGGATGAGTGAGAGGGAGAGAGAGAGAGAGAGAGAGAGAGAGAGATCAGATATATAATTATATAATATTAAACTGTGATGTTAGCGTGATTATACTGAAACTATGTTGGCGAAGTTTTCAGACCGAGCAACTTACTGCGAAACATTAAAATTCGCCCGGTGACCACTCAAATTATCTGCTGATGATTAATTGTCAAATAATTGATGATTGTATAATATAATTGATCGCCAAACGAAGCGCGGTAAATGTGGGAAAATTTTTTTTATTTGAAGTGCGTTTGTGAATTATGTTGAATAATTAATGATATTTATATAATTGTATAAATAATTAATCCGTGTAAAATATTCATTTTGAATTAATTATTTTGTTATTGCATCTAAAGCGAATTGATCGATAAAGATGATTTATCATAAATATTTATTATAATCATGGGTAGATTACTATATGTACAGAGTGAAGTAATTCTGTCATCTAAAAATTTTCTTTTCTTAGTAAAG